AAGCACAGCGCTCTCTGCAACGAGCCACAGGCTTCACAAAGACAAAAGTTCCACCCACCAACTCCCCCATAGTCCGAACAAACTGTTGGGGCAAGTGCTTGCGCAGGCCGGCACGGCAAGTGCTGTTAAGCGAGTAGCACCACTCGAGGGTATGGGTGTCCAGCACCACGCTCGCCGGCCTTTGTCTTCCCAGTGGCGATGCCTACACACCGCACCAGGTACTAATTCGAGGCTGAGTCGATTTAGGGGAGGCCCAGCACCGGTTCAGATAATCGTCACCTGATGCTGGCCATGAGCGGGAATCGAACTCGGGTCGCCAAGTTCGTAGCGTAGCGCAGCGCGCTCACCGCGACACTACCACACACGTGGTCCACACGCACACACGTGTCTTCCACGTCACAAGACCCCCCTCCCCCCCCCCAGTTCTTGGTCTCGCCTACGGTCGTCACATTGTGATTGAACGCGCATGATCTCGTGAGACCTTGCAAGCTGAGCAGGAGGTCGAACGTAGCCTGGGGAGTTCTGCACTCGGACGGGTGACCACCCAGAAACACGGGGAACTGTATTCGTCCTGGAGGAATCCGATGAGCTATGAAGCTCGTCTTCACCGATGTCGAGTCATGAGCGGGTCGACAAGTGCTGGCCAGGTGTGTCGTGGGCGTCGATGTCTGTAAGAGGTTTTGGCCAGGAGATGTCAGTGTCGAGTGTCCCCCCCCCCCCCGTGTGGAACGCGTGTCGGGTGTTCTCTCTGACACTTGGAGGCGATGCTAAACAGTTGCCGTGTGAAGGTTATCACGGCCGCGTTTTCGGGCTGTGCCGCGTGTTGTTCGGCGCGATGTCCAACGTTTCGCTCCGCGGTGCCGGAAGCTTTTTCAGGGTACAACTCTCTACGAGTTCGGAATTTTTCGCTTCGCTTTGGAGGAACCCGTTAAAGGGCCTCGGAGAGAACCCCACCACGCTCGGAGCTGCGATCTCCTGCGGGCCTCTCATCTCGCAGCCGCACGCTGGCATCTCACAAGCGCTGGCTGGTGGTGGTGGCGGCGGCGGTGGTGATGGTCACACATTCATAGCCAGGGTCGAACCTGCTTCTGCTTAGCTTCCTAGATCCGACGAGACGGCGCGAACACAGGGCAACAATTGCAATCGCGTGCAATGCGGTACACACAAACTGTGTCATGCAGCAATTAGATACGTGAGACCTATCACCCATCGACCATGGTCAAGTGAGGCCTTCTCAAACCGATGAAATCTCTCACGAGAATGCCATGGAACAGTCCACCTCGCGCCTGCGCACGAGACAATGTTATTGTTCCATCGCTTCGGCGAGGGAACTCTCAGACGGGCTCCATTCAGTGGCTGCCACTCCGTCAGTAGTCTTGACCATCGGTCATCATCATCATCATCTGGGTGTCGTTGATCTCTCTCTGACGTCCGTGGATTTGCACCGCGTGACTGTGACGCGTATTCATTGTTGTCTGACGCGCGTAGCGGCGGCGGTACCAACATTGCCGTCATCATCATCAACATCATCATCAGCTGCAGCATCAACATCATTAGCATCATCATCAGCATCAACATCATTAGCAGCATCATCATCAACATCATCATCAACATCATCATCAGCACCATCATCAACATCATCAGCATCATAATTAGCATCATCATTATCAGCAGCATCATGATCATCAACATCATCAACATCACAATCGACATTACCGTTACCATTAGTGCAATAAAATCCGTCAAAATGTCATGGCTCAAATGGGTTTTGAGGAAGCACTTATCAATCTCGATGGCTCTGACCCAGCTCTGTGAACTCCACATTCCAACGGCAGGCACCAGGTCATCCCCGCTAATGCCACAACACAGTATATTGCAAACTCGCTTCTTTAGAACTAATTGTGTGTGTTCAGTTTGCTGTCCTTTCCCCGCACGTCCGATGAGCACGGTTGGCTACGTACGGCGCGAAAGAAAGTTCAACATACAGTACGTACAGAAATACGTACATGATCCCGTCTCGCGCCCAAGCTCGCGGATTTCTCTTCACGATTCCGTTTCGTGACATTCTCCACCGCCGTCCGTCTCGAGACGCATCGCGACGAAAATCGCACACGAGAGTGATCACGAACGGCGCCGTCCTCCACATTTGCAGCGGGGTTTGTTTTCGTGTTAATTTCTTTGTGTCTTTGGCGGGGGGAATATCGACAGCTGAATACGGCTACAAAGCACGCGCGGCTAACGCGGAGACAGTGTATTGTTTGACTCTGTTGTGGGCACAGACGCGTGGGTTGAGGGTTGTTGCGGGTGGTTGTGGGTGGTGCGGGTTGTTGCGGGTTGTTGTGTGCGGTGCGAGTGATTGTGGGTGGTTGTGTGCGGTGCGGGTGGTTGCGGGTTGTTGTGGGTGGTTGTGTGCGGTGCGGGTGGTTGCGGGTTGTTGCGAGTGGTTGTGTGCGGTGCGGGTGGTTGTGGGTGGTTCCGTGCGGTGCGTCTGAACTTCTGCTGTCGCAGATCCCTCGATCGGCGGTTCTCAAACTTTGTTTGGTCCACGGACCACTCAGCTGATGCAAACATCACCACTTGTCTCTCTGAATACCAGTCGTACAAAATAATTCAAATTACCGAAAAATGTTAATTTTTTTAAACGCAGCTATAAGGGTTTTTTTTTTTTATGGGGGTGGAGGGGGGGGGTGCGTTTAAATCTGAGGGTTCGGGTAGTTTAATCAGGGAAGTTTACCTAACTTCATTTAGTTTGTTTGTTATTAAACATCACGAGTCAAATATGAATTAACGTCTGAAACAAAATGTACAATCGACGTCGCCATCAAAGCCGTCGCGGGCCACTCGCCCTGCCGGTGCCGGGGACCGCACTCTGAGACCCGCTGCGCTCACTGAAGCGGAGGCTCCCTTCGCGGACTGGGCTGCCCGGCTTGTTGTTGTTGTTGTTGCGACGTCGTTGGTGGCGGGCCGCGCGCGCCACTGCCGTTGCCTTGTTTACCGGGGGGCTCACTGAAGACGTCAATGGGCACTGCACCATACCCCCCGCCCCCTCCCTCATTACGCAGTTTCCCATATATGTGGGAAATAATTTAACTTTAATCTTAATTAATTCATGTGGGAGTATTTGTTTGCTTTGTGTAAAAATGTGTTTAAGAGCCAACGTCGACCGAGGTGAACTAACGAAAGTAATTATTTACGGGGGGGGGGGGGGGTTAGGGGGCCCGCAGTGTCAGTCTCTCACTCTGCCCTTCCTGCCCTGGGGAAGGGCCGTTGCGTGAAACGTCAGCCTACTTATTTACCCAAAAAACACTCGGTAAGCAAATTAACTTCGTCAGCTGCGCAAGATGTAATAAAACCACTTACCGCATTGGTCACGAGCATCGTCGTATAACGAAAACAATCACAGTTCATCGACTTTTCGTGATATAGTACCCTTCTTTGCTCTGAAAAAGGGTCCTCTCCCGAACCGTTGCCCTATACTCTAGCTGTTTTCTGCCGCAACGAGCTGCTGGGCGCAGTGGTTGGCGGTCGCACTGCGGCTACGCGCGTGACGATCCGAATACGATAGCCGCTCACGGCTAACATCAGTGGCGAGCGATATCTAAACCGATACTGCCCCCAACACTCGCTCAGCATGGTGAAGTGTGCCTCAACAAATCTTCAAGGCCTGGGGAGACCTCGCATCTAGCGGTGGATTCGCTAAGGGCTCTATCTTTCAGCGCGGTGTCAAATGACGAATGTGGTGGATTGTTATTATTTATTTCATTTGTGCAGCTTGCATGCAAACGTATCCCACGTAGGTAAGTCCTCGCTTAACGAGTGTTCGCACAACGCGTTTTCGCTAGAACGCGGTTCTTCCATTTGTCAACACTTTCCGCAAAACGTGCACCGTGATAACGCGCACCGTTATAACGCGTAACGAGCACCGCTATAACGTGTAACGAGCACCGTTATAACGCGTAACGAGCACCGTTATAACGAGCACCGTTATAACGCGGAACGAGCACCGTTATAACGCGTAACGAGCACCGTTATAACGAGCACCGTTATAACGCGGAACGAGCACCGTTATAACGCGTAACGAGCACCGCTATAACGTGTAACGAGCACCGTTATAACGTGGAACGAGCACCGTTATAACGCGTAACGAGCACCGCTATAACGTGTAACGAGCACCGTTATAACGTGGAACGAGCACCGTTATAACGCGGAACGAGCACCGTTATAACGAGCACCGTTATAACGCGTAACGAGCACCGCTATAACGTGTAACGAGCACCGTTATAACGTGGAACGAGCACCGTTATAACGCGGAACGAGCACCGTTATAACGAGCACCGTTATAACGTGGAACGTGCACCGCTATAACGCGGAACGAGCACCGTTATAACGAGCACCGTTATAACGAGCACCGCTATAACGCGGAACGTGCACCGCTATAACGAGCACCGTTATAACGCGGAACGAGCACCGCTATAACGCGGAACGAGCACCGCTATAACGCAGAACGAGCACCGTTATAACGAGCACCGCTATAACGTGGCTTGTGAGCGGTCGACGACGAACTACTTTCTTGAGTTGCGGTGCTAAGTGGTGCAGTGATACAGCACGCGGAATGATACAGTAACGCGGCAGCGTACCCTCATCGCTCACACGTGGGTTTACTCCCGGCGCTCCGTTATCCCTCCAACGTGTAAATATCCATTTACTGTTCTCAAGCCTTAAGGAGGACTTTCATCCAGAACTTTTTACAGCACCTTTACACATCGAGGACCGCAGAGCTTGGAGGGAAATTTGGCAATGGCTCGTTGCCTGGCTGCTTCCTTCCCTATTGTCCCGTTGCTCCTCTTTACGCATCCCAGCATCCATCGCTACGGGAGCGAGCGGGTTACTGTGTGGCGCCGCCGCGTGAAAGTTTGACACAATCATCATGATCACGACGACGGTGATACCTGCATCTCTCTTAACACGTGTTTCCGCATTTGCCGTGTGGGCTCGCGCAGGTGAGATGTGCCAGCAGGGACTTGGACCACATCGACCCACCCCGAGTCCCACTCATCGCGTCGCCCTTCGAGGCCGCCAAAGGTCTCGTCTTGGCCGACGCGGCCGGGAGAGCCGAGCAACCACAGCTGTCCACCGCCAGCACCACCACCACCACCACCACCGCTCACTGCAGGCCGGTGGAGCGACGTCCGCCTGCGCTCGAACCGGCACCGTCGTGGCTGCAGGAGGCGCTTAGGTGGGGGGGTTCCGTGCCGGCCCCGGGCCGGCCACGACCTCGGAGCAAGCGGCGGCCTGCGGTGAAGACGGGCAAAGTGAAGAAGATGTTCGGCTGGGGGGACTTCCACTCGAACATCAAGACGGTGAAGCTGAACCTGCTCATCACGGGCAAGGTGGTGGACCACGGCAACGGGACGTTCAGCGTCTTCTTCAGGCAGAATTCCACGGGTCAGGGCAATGTGTCCGTGGTGCTCGTGCCACCGGGCACGGCCGTGACCTTCGAGTCACCGTCACCAAACAACGCGTCCGACTTGAAGAATCTCGTCCCGCCGCCGCCGCCGTCATCCACCACGACCGCGTCATCCTCCTCCTCCTCATCTTCGACCTCGGCATCCACGGCATTCAATTGCCGCGTGGAGTACGAGAAGGTGGAGCACGCCAAGAAGACGTCGCTCTGCAGTCACGACCCGTCCAAGATCTGCTACCAGGAGCAGACGCAGAGTCACGTGTCGTGGCTCTGCTCGCGCCCCTTCAAGATCATCTGCATCTACATCGCGTTCGCCAGCGCGGACTACAGGCTCGTGCAGAAGGTGTGCCCGGACTACAACTACCACAACGAGACGCCGTACCACCCCTCCGGGTGAACTCGCCGGGGGCAGGGAGAGGGAGGAAGAGCGAGCGAGCGAGCGAGCAAGAGGCAATGGGGGTTTGTAGCTCAGAGGACGAAACCGCGGACGGACGGTGGACCAATTGAGCCGTGAATTAATTAACTCAATGATTAATTAAGTCATTGTAATGAGCAGGGCTTTCAATTTCTCACCTGAATATCCCACCCCTACCTCTCCCCCCAGATACACTGGAGTAGGCGGCACGTGACTAGGAGCGCTCACAGCCACGGCGAGAGAGTATACCGCGGCGAGAGAGTATACTGGATGTGGTGCGCCGTGGTGCGGAAATATGTTATCGGGTCACGGACGCGGACAGCCCCCTGTTGAAATGAAGCCCTGATAATCGTTACTAAGTTACCGTTTTAATTGCAACGGTAAATTAATGTAAGGGTGGGGAGTGGCGAGAGCGGTGATATCTGAAGGAGACTCTGGGCGTCCCCACTTCGCCTCTAGCCCGCGTTGACCAAAGTGTGGTCCAACAACCCCCATGACTGACACGTCCGTCACTGCTCATGGGGAGGCCGTCATCCGGCAGTGGATTGGCAAATTGACTGTGAATCTTTATTATTACGACTAGTATTATGTGCTGCATGTAACAGAGCTTGGGCACGCATTGGAAGAGGTCGGCTGCCCTGGTGAGTGTGCCGCGTTCAACGAGCCCACGGACTGCGTCTCGCACGAGAGAAACCTCTTCGCTAAATAGTCGAGGCAAGCGAAGCGGTGAGTGTGGGAGCGAGGCCGTGAGAGGACGCGGCGAGGGAATGGAGGACTTGCCAGAGACGGGGATGTCCGTCTCGTCGTGGTGGGAGACGACAAGAGCGTCGCGGGTGATCATGGACACGCGGTTTAAATTCCCTGCCATGCGTGGGGGTGACGAGTTTGTCGTTGTTGTTGTTGATGATGATGATGCACTTACCATGATAAGTAAGCAACAAAATGTGATAGGGTAAGGGGACCTTGGAATTCGTGTCGTCGATTGTCAACGCATGACGAGCAGCGGTCAGTGAATATCCACGAGACGTAAAAAAAAACACAGCGGCAAGAGGAAGCGCGTGCCCTCTATAGCACAAGAGTCAAAACACAGCGCTGAACTTCGTAACGCCGGCAAGCGACACAAACAAGAAACAAAAACCATGCATACGCGTGGATTCCGTAACGTTTACCCAATAGCGTGCGTTTCTCCTCGCAAGTACGCAAACGTTATCCTGCTTGCCGCACAAAAAGACGAAGGCGCCTTTCGATGAATACGGTGGGGGGGGGGGGGTTCTTCAACAAGGGTGGGTTCCCCTAATAGCGACGCAACTTTACACTCAACGTTCATTAACATTGGATTCTCTTTACGAACGTTACGTGGTGGCCCACCGCTTACGCACGGACGAACGGACAGAGGTACGGACGGACAGAGGCAATGTATCCACGCGTTCCACCTATCGTTGGAACCAGAGCGGACACGACGTTTGGCACGTGCGACGATTCAATCGGCATGTACAAGGGGAATGCACGCACGACGGGCGAGCGTGATTAAAAGCAGCCCTTCACATTCCAGACTGGGAAGCGGTGAGCATCACTCACGCGTGAGACGTAAGCTAAAAAGAGGAAACACGGAACTGAGAATTACCGTATTCTCCAGATTATACGACGCACATCGCCCCCCACCCCACACCCCATGTATTTTAAAGCAAACGTTGGGGGTGCGTCTTCTAATCCGGTAGGCGCGCGTGTGTGTGTATGTACGAGACCATATTTGTATAAACTCTATTGACACCGGTCACAAAGCTTGGGGTGCGTCTTACTTTCCGACGTGTCTCATAATCCAGAAAATACGGTCGCAGTAATAACCAAGACCCGACAAGTTCATCACGAATAATGTCGTCGACGCAGCCCCCAACATCACCACCGCCGCCGCTGCCTCGCCATCGCTTCCTTCCATCTGCCAGTACTAAAATGGGGCACTACTTAGGAATGATGGCAAATGCAACGAAAAGCTTTGCCGTGCGCGCGCGCGTGTGTGAGTGTGCGCGTATGCGCGCGTGTGTATGTGTGCGTGTGTACGCGTGTGTGTGCGCGTGTGTGCGCGTGTGTGTGTGCGTGTGTGTGTGTGTGTGCGCGTGTGTGTGTGTGCGCGTGTGTGTGCGCGCGCGCGCGCGTGTGTGTGCGCGCGGTATCGCGCGTCCCAAGTTTTAAGAAGGGGAGACTAAATACATTCACGTGTCCGCACTGGGGGTTCGCGTGAGTGATGTTGCCTTGTGAGAGTTGAATGTCTCCCGGTTTCGTCGGGGCGTTGAAGTCGCGGCCCCCCGTGTGTGTAAATATTTCAACGTTCAAGACATTAATAGCGCGGTGTGTACGTGTGTATGTATGTATATATATAATATTTATATGTGTACGTACACACGAGAATCCTACCGTGAACACCGTCAAGGCTTGGTGTGGCTACGTGGTGGACAGACAGATGGCAGCGCGCGGTAAAATATAATTATTGTACCGCACTTCTACCGCGTCCACGCCAATTGCTCCCCGCCATCAGAAAACCACGCGGAACATGCGTGGTGAAGTATGGCCAAGCGACGGCCACTACCACCCCGGCACGGCGTGGGGAGGAGGCCCTCATCCAGCAGTGGATTTGTCAATGGGCTGTCTATCTACAAGCATACGCGCGTGCGTGTGCACATGCGAGACGAGACGGTGGAGACAGAGAGAGAGAGAGAGGGTGGGAACACGATTACTGAATATAGGGTCCCTTAATGACCGAGCGTCGAGGTCTCTTTGAAGGTCCATTTGCGGCATTCGTAGCACCAGATGGCAGCCACCAAGGTCAAGCGGGAGTCACCCACAAGATCAATCCGCGGCTTTAAAGAAAGAGCGATTGTTTAAATTAGCCTGATAAAAACACACACACACAAGGAGGAAGAAGACAAACAAAAATCACACGGAAGCATTCAATCGACTGCCGCGATTCGATTCAGTTGGGGTCGATTGTTGTTGTTGTTTTTAACGATACGTGACGTTGATTATTAGCGGCGTCTCGTGGATGCCCAGTGTCACGTGAACCCACGCCAGAAAACACATTAGCAGACGAGGAATAGTTGGAAACAAAACTCCCCAAAATCAATTCCTTACCACGCGCCATCCGATGCACGCATCGTGAACTAAAATAATCGATTTTAATCGGTGACTGGTGCTACCCTGCTACACCACTCGCGCCGTGAAAATATGTGCGACTGATGACAATATAATCCATAACATAAAACATGTTGGAACATTATGGGTCTATGGGACATTGTGAAACATCATGAGTAATGGATTAAATTAAATAAAGCACCCCATTTATATCTCTAAATAAAATTGAATAAAACTATTTTAGAGAAGTGAATTGGCATTCCAGACGTATATAGCCTGAGCAAAAATAATCATCCACAACAGCCCTTTTGTCAATCCACCGCTGGATGAATGTCACCCCACGCCGTGTTTGTCGGTCCAGGGGGTTGTTTGACCATAACTTCACCACGCTGGACAGCTCGGGTTGGTGAAGGAGGGTGACCAATGCCAGGTCGGATATGGCTCGCCACTGATGATTGTAGCCACCGCTGTCGCGAAACCGCTGCGAAACCGCTACGCCATCACTCCGCCCCGGAATTGAGATCGCAGAAGCGTTTCATTAAAGCACGGGGATTCTGGACCGATTTCCATACCTATTCGGCGCTCGTGGGGAGTACCAGAGCACTTTTCGATCACATCTCATAAACAGGTATTGAATTGTCGCGTCCGATTGCCGATGAGCGCTTAAACCGAATGCTGCGGGTTCACTTGAGTGTGGAAGGCCGATAAACCGAACACACTCCTTGCCCTTCATCATCTGTTTGGTTGCACGGCGTCGGTGGAAGTGCGGGTGTTGCTTTTTGAGTTTTGTCTGGCAGTGAATCGACCGTCGCTGATCACGGTAAACTATACACTCCTCTCGTTGATCTCGTCCAGGACCACAAAGCACCAGGCGAACTGCAGTCACCCTGGCAGCAGCAGCAGCAGTGGATTCTGGTTGCCCATCGTACAAAGACGGCGGTCCCCGCATCACGCGCTTTGCCCGATGTGTTTCCGCGGCCGTCTGGAACGCTCTTCCTTCCGATGTTAGGAAGCTATGCACTTTTAAATCGTCTAAATTCAACACTCATTTCTTAACAACTGTTTTCGGTGCTTAGTTTGTTGCCCGTCTCCCGCACCTCCGATTACCGTGGTTGACCACGCACGGAGCGAAAGAAATTCAACATACTGTACTTACATACTCTACGGTTTGATTGGCGGTGGACGGACGGCGGTGGTTGCCCCTGTTTAATAATGTTCAGCGTTCTCCGGATTATTAAAGACGCCCTTTTTTCCGTGTATCGGGAGAAGCGTCTCACAATCCGAGTGTGTCTGCGCGTGCCTATGTGGAGCGGTGGCGCAGCGGTTAGCGGCCCTGCGCTTCGAACCCGGCGACACGAGTTCGATTTTCCGCTCGCGGCCAACACCGGTGACGATGATCTGAACCGGTCCTTGGCCTCGCCCCTGGGTCGACTCGGCCTCAAATGATTACCTGCTACGGTGTACAAACATCGCCACTGGGGAGACAAAGGCGGTCAGGCATGATGCTGCTGGCCCTTCCACTCCGCCGCGTGCCGTGTCGGCTTTCTGAGATGCTCTCACGAACAGCACTTGCCCCAACAGTCTGTTAAAGGCGACACGGGGGATCTTTGTGTGAGAGAGATCCAGATTTGATCTTTGTGTGAGGAGAGAGATCCAGATTTGATCTTTGTGTGAGGAGAGAGGTCCAGATTTGATCTCTGTTTGAGAGAGATCCAGATTTGATCTCTGTTTGAGAGAGATCCACATTTGTTCTTTGTGTGAGGAGAGAGATCCAGATTTGATCTTTGTGTGAAGAGAGAGATTCAGATTTGAACAGCATTATTGACACGGGGGTACGAGGCCAAGGTACGTCTAATTTTCCAGAGGAGTCGTGCGATATGCGGTGCCATTGGCCCTTGGGACGCGCAGTATTGGCAGTGACATGTATGCACTCCGAGAGGCGTCACGATCACGAGATACGATTCACTTAACACGTTGGGAAATTTTGCGTTGTAAATATATATTTTTGAGATTTTGTTGCCCGAAACATACGTACATTATATATGAGATGTATCGTGCAGCGGGGTGTGAATTGTGTAAAATGACCAACCGATTAAAGATGCACCTTGAAACAAACATGCGTGCGGCCTCCCCTAGGTCTACTCAGCCTTAAATGAGTACTGAACTGGAGTGGCGGCGCGTGACCAGAAAATAACTGGGGGCAAGACGATAGAAGGACGCGGTCTGCTGTCGGCTCCACCACCCCATTGTACGACTTCCGCGCCGCAACGGGTGCTCGCTAACTGCACGTGTACACACAGGCGCAGTTAGCGAGCACCTAGTTCGCGCACTGCGCCACAAGCCCAGCGACAGGGGGAATTTTTACGTTTTTCTAGTTCTCCCCTAGGTTGGCTCAGCTTTAAATGAGCCCCTGGTGCAGGTGGTGAAACGTGGGGATCTGGGGGGAGACGAAGTGACTGGACGTCTAAATCTTGACTCAAAGCTTTCGTGACTGCAGGAATTCATATTCTTTGGGTCTTTCGGTAAAATGACGTAGAACAATTTTTTTTTTTACAAAAACTACGACGTTTCGATTGCAACACAAGCAATCGTCATCATTTGTTTCGTTCTACGTGACTTTACCGAAAGACCCAACGAATATGAACTGGACATCTGTGATGAAGAACGTTATGGATCATCGAATTCCTCCGGTCTAAGTCAAGATTCTAAATAAAGAGAAAGCATCTGACTGGGCGTGGTAAGTGATTGCCTTAATGGGTGCTCGCTAACAGCGGCACGCAACAGGCAGTCAATGTGACCCCAAACACGCGTGTCACAATGGCACCAAGTATCCGGACACGTTCTGGGTCTCCCCTAGGTCGACTCAGCCTAAATATATATTCAATGAGAACCAAGGCTGATGGCGAAGCTGTTAACCTCGTTAGCACAGCGGAGACAAAGGTCGCCGCACGTGAGTGGTGATTTATAATTCTGAGTCGATTTATCGACAGCACTGGGGAGACAAAGGCGGCCGGGCAATGCGGGTGTCAGAAGGAGAAAGCTCCTCTGTGTGTGCTCACGACTGGGTGATACACTGCCAAGAGGTGCAGGAGCAAGTCCACATTCATCACGCTGCACATAGAGCAAAGCCGACAATGTGTGCGTGTGCACCGTCATAGTAGGCCTCAAATGGGTACCTGACGCAATGGGTGTGCAAACATCGCCACGAGAGAGACAAAGGTGGCCGGGCGTGGTGTTGTAGCCGCACCACCCCCCCTCTTGTGTGATTCCGGCCTGTAGAGCTGCTCGCTAATAGTCTCACCCCAACCAGGTACTCATTTGAGGCTGAGTCGACCTAGGGGAGGCCCAGGACCGGTTCGTGTGTCGTAACACTCCACCACCCGACACGGCCAGTAAGGAATTTGTCACGTAAGCGAAACGCGCCAATTAGTGATTTATCCAGTCCACCGGTGTGTTGGAGAGTGAATCCACAACATTTACGATTTGAGTTGTACGACGTTTCGCTGGTAATCACATCCAGCAGCATCGGGCGATTTGCCTGATGCTGCTGGATGTGGGCTGAAGTATTAACTAAGCGGCGCGTTTCTTTTACGTGACATACCTGATTGGCTGTGTCGGGTGGTGGAGGGTCACGACACATTTATACTGACGGGGTCTCATCAATAAACCTTTATTATGAAGCTACACGAACCACGAACCGCTACACTAGCGATTGTACAGCTTGCTTCAAAAAATGTTAACACTTTTAATGGTACTTTCGTTTTCAATGTAAAAATAACTGATAATACACTGCAACGTGATAAAAAAAATGTAATGTTAACAGCTTCAAAAAGTCAAAGAGTCTCCCACTTGTGCTCCATCATTGTCAACGCGTGCCTGGAATCATCTGCAGGTGGTCTCCAGAGCATCGGAATCAGCCACATTTCTCGTGGCGTTGTTGCAAATTTTCTGAAGTGTTCACATTTTTTTGAAGCATCCTGTACTTTAATCACCACCCACCTCCATTATCATCATCATGATCACCATCACCTCTATAATCATCGTGATCACCACCACCACCTCTTCCACCACCGCTAATCACTACTGATAATTTCCTTTCGCACTCAATGCAACAAAGCGCGTCCCTCTAAACACCGGACAAGTGTTAATTGCTACCTAAGCCTCTTCGCGTGGAATACATTCGCAGCTGCTGATGCTGCTACTGCTGCTGCAGAAGGTGTCACGCTGAGACATGTCCTGGAAAGCCCCCCTCTCACCATGACTTCCCTTAGTTTAATCAACATACCAATGCACCTCGATGTATGTGTGTGTGTGTGTTTTTAATACATCTTAAAGCATTTATTTAAAATGTGTCCGTGCAATGTCGGACGAGCTTGCAATTTATAATGGACTAATGGAAATGTCATTGTTAAAACTAGAATTGCATTATTTTTTCATTCGTATTACTTAAACCATTATTTAACATAAAATACGATGAATATCTTACGCAGATGCCATTAAATCCTTTCATTTTTAATTAAGCAGGCAATCTAAAAAAAAAGTTCACGACCATGCGTCCTTTTGTCACCCCCAGTAATTTTTGGCGAGGCATTGTGACCAAAGTAGAGACAAAGACCCCTTCCCCCCGTATAGCCTTGAACAGACTGTTAGGGCAAGTGCTGCGAGATTCGCTAACCACGACACTACAGCTCCACACAGTGGGATCCAGGACAAAGACAAAGACTCCCTGTATAGCCTTAACGGATTGTTGGGGCAAGTGCTGTTAGCGAGCACCTATGAAGGCCAGAACGGCACACGAGGGGGTGGGTGGCCAGCACCACGCCCGCCCGTCTTTGTCTCCCGAGTGGCAATGTTTACACACCGCACCAGGTACTTATTTGAGGCTGAGTCGACCCTAGGCGAGGCCCAGGACCGGTTCAGATAATCGTCACCGATGTTTGCCGTGAGCGGGAATTGAGCTCGGGTCGCTAGGTTCGTAGCGCAGCGTAGCGCTGACTCCTACACCACCGCTCCCCACCACCCACGCCTCGACACACATCGCTTGGGATATCTGCTCGTGGGTAATCTTGGGAAATTTACAGTGACGCGTCAAGAGGGCATTGAGATCGGCCAAGCCTGGAACCGCACATCACCAGCTGTCAAAGCGAACGACGGGCACTCGCGTTCCACATCGCTTGCACGCGAAGGCGCCAAACATCAACATCATCATCGTCGTCATCTTCATCATTGTCGTCATCATCATCGTCATCATCGTCATCATCATCGTCACAAAGACCAGGCGGTGTGTGTCCCGACGCGCCGCCAATTTGAAGGGCGAAATTGTAAAGTCGGATCACGCCCAGAGGCATAGAAACTCGATTAGAACTAATGCGACTTTTTAACGGCGTCCCCTGGGCTACGGGAATAAGACATCCATCAGGAGGCGGCGTCAGTGAATCGAGTTAATCACTCAATTCAACAACTCATTTAAGCTCATCATATTATTGCTATTGATCTCTGCTGCACGAGAGCACTGCTCTAAATACTGCGCGAAAGGCAACCCCTACAGCTTTCTGAGCGATAGGGCAGTGTGTCGTTCTGTGGCTTTGGGAGTGGTAGGGTCGTGTATCATTCTGTGGCTATGGGAGTGGTAGGGTCGTGTATAGTTCTGTGGCTATGGGGGTGGTAGGGGCGTGTGTCGTTCTGTGGCTATGGGGGTGGTAGGGGCGTGTATCGTTCTGTGGCTATGGGGGTGGTAGGGGCGTGTGTCGTTCTGTGGCTATGGGAGTGGTAGGGGCGTGTGTCGTTCTGTGGCTATGGGGGTGGTAGGGGCGTGTGTCGTTCTGTGGCTATGGGAGTGGTAGGGGCGTGTGTCGTTCTGTGGCTATGGGGGTGGTAGGGGCGTGTGTCGTTCTGTGGCTATGGGAGTGGTAGGGTCGTGTATAGTTCTGTGGCTATGGGGGTGGTAGGGGCGTGTGTCGTTCTGTGGCTATGGGAGTGGTAGGGGCGTGTGTCGTTCTGTGGCTATGGGGGTGGTAGGGGCGTGTATCGTTCTGTGGCTATGGGGGTGGTAGGGGCGTGTATCGTTCTGTGGCTATGGGGGTGGTAGGGCCGCGGCTTCATTTCAGCTGGGTCTGTTCCGGTCATCTGGACAAACAATATCTGCGTACCCCGAACACCACATCCACCGTGCGTGTGGCTGTGGGCTACTGGCTACTCGCCACATGCGGCAGCCACTCCAGTCTACCAGCAGCACTGGAGGATATTCGTTGACAAATGAGGCCCTGGCTCAGGGATTACGTATGGCGAGTTGTACCAACTGTGCGAGTGCTGTGTGTAGAGTGGCGTAGCTATCGCGTGCGATGGCTGTGCCCCTGCATCGGGGCCCACGGACTGCGGTGGGGCAGGGGGAAGAAGGGGGCAGTCTAAGAAGCGGAGGGGGCTGGGGGTGGAATTGAACATGGGGGGGGGGGGGTGGCAATTGAATGTCTTGCGCCAGTGCCCGCGCCTGCCACCACGCTAGGCCGCTGCGCGAGCGGTGGCGATCATAACAATTATAGTAACAATTATAGTTATAATTATAGTTATAATTATAGTGTATAATTTAATTCATTAGTATTATAGTTCGCTCTTTGACCGTGCGAGTTGGTGGCGCTATTCATAGCCGCCGTGAAAGTCGCGGGGCTAAATGTAACCGTGCAAGTTGTTCGACAAACCATGAATAGAAATCTGGTGAGTTGAATCAGAGGCAGGTGTGTATATATACACACACACACATTGCATGGGAGGCCCTGCGGAAGCAATGTGGGAAGTGTACTGGGTATTCGGGCTACGCGCGCGTGGAGAGATTTTCTCAAGGATTTGTTGGCTGTCCTCGCAGACGAAGCGAAACAGAGCCGAGCCCCCAGTCGACATCAAGGACCGCGTCTCGCAGGAGCGGCAGCCAGGCAGACATCCAGCCGGCAGCGCCGTGTGAATCAAGAGAGGGAGAGAGAGAGAGAGTCGCTCAATCAATTTCCTCAAGGCGCTCCAAACGCATGGAGAAAAACGTAGCACACAGCTTACCGGGCAAGACGCGGTACAACCCAGGTTTGGAAGAATAATTTTCATCCACAATGTGATCTGTATGGCATAGC